AAGTTAAACAAAAAATAATATTTGAAAACAACAAAACAACAAATAAAAGCTAAACTGATCAAAACAGTAGCCGACAACTAAAATAATCATATAAAAATATACAAACAGTAGCTAAAAGCTAAAATTGGCTGAACAGCATCCACAAGCAAAAAGGTAGCTCAAGATTACATTAAAGTATAGTAGATAAAAACTAAAACTAGCAAAACAGTAGCTAAAAGCTAAAATGATTCGAACAAAAGCTAAATTATAAAACCAGCAAATCCAGCTAAAAATAATAAAAAGCAAAACAGTAGGTAAAAGTCAAAATTAGAAAAAYACTAGCTTAAAGCTAATACAGTATTAAAAACAGAAGTTAAAAGTCTAAACAGTTTAATAAGTAGCTAGAAGGTAAATAATTACATTAGCAAAAACATAAAATATCTAAAAACACAAATGATAAAAAAAGCAGTAAAAAAATCAATTTAGCTAAAATATGCTGACTCAGCGTTCTTCAATAATGTTCCAGGTTCTAGAAACCAGTCAGATCAGGATCGACTCTTAGAGCCTTTGGTTTTCATTAAAACAGCAGCTCTCCTCCTGTCCTTTTCACCGTACAAACAGCTGAAGCCTGGTTCTTCTGTAGCTTTAATGAGGCGAAGCAAACTGTAGCTGAACGAAGGCCGAACCTTCGTCATCATCATCATCACACTCAGGTAAACAGCTGCTTTTACTCACTTGACTGAAAGCCATGTTGGATTTGTTTCTGATGCTTCTCGGATGCATTAACACAGTCAGTTTTTTTAAGACCAAACACCGCTCACTTTGTTCTGCAGCAGCTCTGATGCTCCATTTGGACTTCGGCCTTTTAGACGCTCTCACAGCCGAACACTTGGCTGCTTTAGATGGGCAGGAAAACAAACAGGAAGCAGAAAAATGTGACTAGAGGAACATTTTCTGCTAAAATGCAGGATCCACTCAGAGCCGAAACAAAAACAGAGTTGAAGTTATGAGGAGCCTAACACTAGCTAAAAGCTTTAAGAAGCAAAACACTACCTAAAAGCTTAAGAAGCAATAGGCTAGCTAAGGTTTTAAAAAACAAAATGCTAGCTAATGGCTTAGAGAAGTGAAATGCTAGCTAAATGCTTAAACAAATAAAACACTACCTAAAAGCTTTAAGAAGCAAAATACTACCTAAAAGCTTTAAGAAGCAAAATGTTAGCTAAAAGCTTTAAAAAGCAAAATGTTAGCTAAAAGATTTAAGAAGCAAAATGTTAGCTAAAAGCTTTAAGAAGCAAAATGTTAGCTAAAAGCTTTAAGAAGCAAAATGTTAGCTAAAAGCTTTAAGAAGCAAAATGTTAGCTAAAAGCTTTAAGAAGCAAAATGCTAGCTAAAAGCTTAAAGAAACAAAACACTAGCTAAAACCTTAAAAAATGAATGCTAGCTAAAAGCTTTAAGAAGTGAAATGTTAGCTAAAAGCTTAGAGAAGCGAAATGCTAGCTAAAGGTTTAGAGAAGCAAAATGCTAGCTAAAAGCTTTAAGAAGTGAAACGCTAGCTAAAAGCTTAAAGAAACAAAACACTATTTAAAAGCATAGAGAAGAGAAACGCTAGCTGAAATCTAACAGAAGCAAAAGACTAGCTATAGCTTGTTAGCTTTATATTCCAATTTTTTAAGGAATATTGGATTTAGCAGGTACAACTATGATGTATGATGAATTAATTTTCTGATGCTTTCACATGTGGTAGAGTTTGGCTAGAATTAGCCCACTTTTTGTTTTGTATCACTTCCTGTCTGTTGTTGTGTTTTCTTGTGGATCCAGCCAGTCATTTGCATATTTTGAAGACCTCTTCATCATATCTTTTTGTAACATTTGGGGGGGAACCTTCAGTTTCAGTGTGTTGCTCTTGTATAGTAAATGAACTATGATGATTAGGAGCATTAGAAGCCATGTTGAACCATAGTCTCACGTCACATAGAATGTTGTCGTGCAGGAAATGAGTTCTTGTTTCCCTTAAACACGAATCTATACCCACGGTGTGTTCGCTCATGCAGACACACACCCTCTCTGCGTTTTGTATGAACTCCTTATTGGGGCTTTTGATCCAACGAGTGTCAGGAGCTCTTATCTCCTACTGTGTAACACACATTTATGGCTYGCACATGGGCTGCAGCGTCTCCCCGCTGAGCTGACCCTGTCGCACGCGCTCTCACAAAGGAGGTTATTTCGGGGTCGCCTCGCTGAGCACAATGAAAAGGCACACCCACACACAAAGGCGGCAGCACGTGTCCGAAATCCTTCCAGAAGTCTGTGAACACGACCGTCTGTGTGTTTAAATGTGTTTGCACTGTGACTAAAGGCTTTCAGATTGACAATAAGCGTGTGTGTGTGTGTGTGTGTGTGTGTGTGTGTGTGTGTGTGTGTGTGTGTGTGTGTGTGTGTGTG